GTTCAAATTCTATGAAATAGAATTTCATTTACATTTTTTATTAAAATATTTATTCAATTAGTTCCTTTTTTTTTTTTGTTTTTGTATTTGCAACAAAATACATAATAAAAACGATAATATTATTTTTTTATTAGAACGTCATTAAAAAAATAACAGTTTCTCTTTTTTTGTAAAAAATTCTTACAGAGTTCAACAAGTTTATGAAATATGTCATTAGATATATGATATACTAATAGATAAAACTTAATTCATATATTTCAATGCTGTCAAAGGAAATTATCATGACTAGATTACAAAAAGTCTTCTGAATACTTATTCATCAATTTTACATGCCAATGATTTTCTATTATATGATGAATAAATATACTTCATAGAAATATTAGAAGAGATTTTTCGAGCCACCTAGAAACCATGAACGACATAGTCTCGTAAGTAGGGAGCTGTGGGTCCATGTTTTTATGGACTAGGACTCGAAAAAAGATAAAACTTTGAATTTGGATCTGGAAAGATCCGTAGCTCCTTATTCGTAAGTAAAATCTATTATGTTGCTTTTTCAATTTACTAAAAGAGAAATTCATAAGTTTATAAACAACTTAAGAAGCTCTAGAATGATATTTAAATCACTTCTTTTCATAGAATCGAAAGAAATATTGAGTATGTCAAGTATTGACTTGTTAAATACATTTTTCTATTACTAATAATAGTTGTTTCGTGTTTTATCTTGTCTTAACAGCTTTTTATTCTTCACAAGATTATTTTCTATAGACTAGAGGTGTACAAGATTGCCCTGCATGGTAAGATAAAGTCTTGATAAACGTGTTGCTAAGTAGAAGAGAATAAGAGATAGAAAGTTTTTCTCAAGAAAAAGGTATCGAGTACAAAAAAGAGCTTACACAGCACATTGCTACTATACACATATTTTATGACTAATGAAATTTTCGATAAAAAAATATTTCTTAAATAAATAATGTTATCATTTGTTTAGATAACGATAATAAAACTCAAAATAGTGATTTATCCATATCAGAAAATTCAACTAATCCATTATCACGTATTTATCAACCAACAACAATAGCTGGAATAAAACCTATCGATGTAAGTAAACAAGAATATATTTTTGTTTTTTTTTATTTGTATTATGTAATATAAATTTTACATTATTTTTTTTTTGTGTTTCAGAATTCTGATCAACCAATATTACTTGACGGTGACGATGATTCAAATTCAATTGTATGTTTTTGAGAAAAAATATTTTTGTTTTTAATTATATAAATATGCCTTTTCTGAATCAGCGTGAACAAACTGAAACAATGACAGATGGAAATTCTAAAATTCGTTCAAATCAAGATGGTGAAAAAAATAAATCTTAAAAAAGAAAATTATTTTTTTCTCATTAATTTATTTTTTATTTTTATAGTCAATAAATCAACAATAGAAAACGAAATGCCTGAAAGACGTCGTGATAGTTCAATAAAAAAAATTCTTTCCAATCAACCATTAGAAAAACAAGAATATGTTGGTAAGAAGAAAAAATTATTTTCAATATAATTCATCAAACAAGTTTTTTGATATTTTATTAGAAATCAATCAAAAAGTCCAAAATAGTACTGTTAGTGCATCCAAAGTTCATTCAAGTAATGATTTAAATGTATTAGAACGAACGAATAGTACCGGTGGACGAGAATGTATGATCAAAAACAAAAACAAATATACAAAATCTCTTCATGTTTTTTTGTTATTGATTTTAGCTACACGATCACGAGGTTCGATCACCATGCGAATGTTAATGGGGGCAAATGGAATTTATGCTGATGGAAAAGCTCAACCAATGACAGCTAATGGTATTTATCATATTTCTGTTTTGTTTTTAATCATAAATTTTCTTTAAATAGAACTTACAAATGAACAATCAAATAAACGTGCAGCATCACCAAATGATAAAAGTCAATCATTAGAATATTTAATACGTGGTGAACTTGTTCGAGCATGTCCAACATTACCAAAAAATGATGGTAAAGATTACAAAAAAAAAGAATATAATTTTAAAAATCTTCTTTTTATTATTTCTAGAATCATCAATGATATTTCAAAATCGTAATCCATCAAATCGTTTATCACCAACAATACAACAACGGATACAATCAAATCAACAACAACAACAACAACAACAACAACCAATATCTAAACGAATGCGGTAAATCCGATAATTAAAACAAAAATATAAGAATTTCTTTTTTTTTATATAGAACATCATCGAAAGATGAATCAACATCAAATACTGAACAACGTCATTCATCATTTAGTCAAACACATGAAACATCAACTAATGTACGCGATCCATTTATTTTACAATCACATTCAAAAAATTCTCACCAACAAATGAGTTCATCATTATCATCATCATCAAATACTGATCGTAATTGGCAATCATATGTTCAACAACAATATCAACAATCACTTGCATCACGATCAACACGTTCAACAATTACTAATTCTGGTTCCATAACACAAGGTAGTCCAATATCACCACCAACACGTTCATCAAATGATCAACAACAATATTCATCAACAGCAAGTAGTCAGCTTGTTAATTCACGTTATGCTTCTGTGAATAAAAGTAAAAGAATTTGACGTTAAATTTTGTTTTTCTTCTAATGTATATATATATCTATATATCTATATATATATGTATATATATGTAGATGAACAACAATTTTCGCCATCAAGACAATCATCAACATCACCACTTGATCATTCATCAAAAGGAAAATTTTCTCGACGAGCACAACAGGTAAAATTTCATTCGAAATGAAGAATGACTTATGACTAGAGCCTATCGAGTCCAAAATGTTCGGAATCAATCCGACGGACTCTACTTATGAGGCAATCTTACCAAATAAATCTTCACTTATTACATAGGTTCTATTGAGATAAACGAAAGTCTAAAAGAATTTATGTCTATGAGTTTTGCTGCTTGTGTTATAGTCATTATTAGGAGTTTTTCAACAAAATATTCTGACTTGTCTCAGGTCATCTTCAAAATCGATAGGCGCGGATTTAAAATTTGCACAAATAAAGTTTTCAAAAGGACTAATTTATTATGAAAGCTTTAGATTTTTTAGTATCAGCTATCCTTAAATACCAATTTTCATAATTCGGTAGTAGAAAATCTGACATATTTACAATGAAAAATTTTATTTGTGCAAAATTTGAAGCCAAAAAGTGATCTAAGACCAAAGTTTTCTATTAGAAAGGTTTCTCCCAAAATGTCGGACATTCTTGCTGGCAATTTTTTACAGCATCGTAATAACTTAGGACAAAAATTGGATTTGTAAATACCGTTTGTCTGTCTCTGGCAGAAAATAAAATAAAAATAAGCAGACAATGTCGTTGCGAGGTGAATAGGGCTGGGGAAAGATGACCTGATAGGAGAAATCGGATCGTGGTAGGTTTCGTTCATTTCTCCATCGGTCACTATTTCTAGCACTTTGAGAATGAAAACACTTTCTGCAGAATTTTTAGCTTCTTTCACTCCTAAAAAATATCGACAATTCTGTCTGAAATAGATCAAAGCATTTTCTTGAAATATTCATTAGAACAACCAGCATTCAAGAAGATAAATCCGTTGACATAAATCCTTCTTAAGCTTTTTTTTTAGTCAAAAATAAAACCTACGTAATAAGTCAAGATTTATCTCAGAAGCAATTTATTATTCGATAAGATTCCCTTAATTAGTCTTCAGAGATCTTAATATCTTGAGTGATAAAACAATATGCATACTCCTTATTCAATTCAATTGTATACATTTTTGTTTTCGATAAAAATCATTGTATAAATTATTTTGAATTTTATTCCGAGATAAATCGTATTTAAAAAAATCGAATCAAATAATTCTCTAATATAAACAAAAAAACCTTTATCAATATTTTAAATTAGATACTATCATCTCCAGTTGATACTCAACATGAATCAACATTATCAATAAATATTGATCCATCATCAAGTCACAAAAGTCCAAATATAAATTCATTACAAACAAATACTCCACCAATAGCTGCATCACCAATTTCATCATCTGTATCACCAGCAACATCTGTATCATCAAATAGTGCGCATCCACTTAAAAAACGTTTACTTAGTGAATATGAATTTGAACAACAACAACAACAACGAAATTCACCAACAATGATATCACCTGTTATATCAACACAAATTGAATCAACAGAAGAATTAATTCATAACTCAAATTCAAATATATCTGAACAAAATACTGAAGAAACTTCTAATACTGCTGACACAACTAAAACAACAATGGATAATTCTATGGAAAAAAATGAATCTTCAACATGATGATTATTGTTTGTTTTCAAAAAAAAAAAACTAAGTATTGCTCAATCAACCGGTCGTTGTCTTTTGTTGTTGATTATATCTAATATTGTAACAGTAATAAAAATAAAAACAAATTTGAGTCATCCGTGGTCTTTTTCTTTTTTCTTCTCTGTATACGTCATTTTTACTCTTATTGTGTACATGACAACTATATCCAAGCACACGATGATGCGTGTTTGTTTGTTTGTAAATATTTCTATATATTAAATTTCTTATTCTTGTTTCTATGTAAAATATTCTAAAGCAGCTTTTTCTGTTGGTTGTTGTTATACTGTCGAGTTAGTCTTTTTTTTTTTTGTTTGTCCTCATTTATTTGATTTCATGTAGAGCTGATATCTACAAAATTGGAAAACATATACATACAGAAATCTTTTCTTTTTCATTTTTTCTTTTTGTTATGATCTTTTCTTTTTCTTTCGTTTTATTGGTTGTTGTTCTTGAAAATTTAACAAAAAAAAAGAAAAGTAAACAGATTTTTCTTGTTTTTTGTTCTGCTGTAACGTTTGTCTATTCAACATTTAAATAAAAAAAAAGAAAATCTTGGTATTTTAAATGATTTTACTGAAAAATAAAAACGATTTATGGTTTTAGATTGAAAAGAAAAAATAATTATGCCGGTTTGTAATTGATTTAATGTTTGTTTTTCTTATCGAATTAAAATTATTTTGATTTTCGATTAGGAAAAAAAACGATCAGCAAGTAGTGGTAATGCAAATAATGTTAAAGTTGTTGTTCGATGTCGACCGATGAGTGATAAAGAATTGGATAATGATCGTCGATCAGTTGTTTATGTAAATAGTATACTTAAATCTATTTCTTCTATTATTCATTCAATGATATTTTCTAAAATGTCAATAAAAAATTATCAGACATACATCAATACCTATAGATTATCATGTTAAAGATGACCTTTTTCTGTATAAACAATGTAAGTCCTTGTCAATTCTCTATATCAGTGGCTTTTTTTGCTCTATTCAAAGTTGTGGTCAAAATTCATGAAATGCTAAATAAAAGTTTCGGAATTAACCGAGATTTACATTTTTAGAGTTGATTCTCCAATCATTTGAGAGACTTGTGTTTTATATTCGATGAAATCTAACAATAGTTTCTGATAGAAAATTCAAAACTGATTACAACTACTATGAAGCATTGTTGAAAGTTTGATAGTTTTCAATGCCGGAAATAGACTAATACTTGACTCGGAAACTCCAAGAATTAATGCATCTATATTAAAAGTAACATATTCTCAGGAGAGATAGAATCGATTTGATTTCAAAAAAAATACGAACTATCAAACTTTCGATAATGTCTCATAGTAGTTCCGAACAGTTTTTAATGCTCTATCGAAAATTATTATTAGATTTCATCAAAATACAAAACACGGGTCTCTCAAGTAGTTGGAACTGATGCTAAAAATGTAAATTTCGGTCACAGCTTTGAATGCAACAAAAAAAAAGTTGATGGAGAGAATTGACAAGGGCTTATGTTATCTCCACATAAAAAAAAGATCATCTTTGACATGATGTTCTACAGGAATTGATGCATGCTTATTTGAAATGGCTAAAAACAACTCTTTTACATATAAATAGAATGATAAATATGATCTTTTTTTTTTGAAGGTAAATGAAACAACAGGTACTATTGATGTTCGACCACCACATAGCACGAGTGATGATACGAGTAAAACGTTTACATTCGATTATGTATTCGGACCAGATTCACAACAAGTTGTTATTTATAATTTGGTTGCTCGTCCAATTGTTGATGCTGTACTTGAAGGTTATAATGGCACAATATTTGCCTATGGACAAACAGGCACTGGTTAGTATTCAACTTTTATTTCTACATAAATTTATATTGAGAATAAATCTTTTTTTTTTTTATTCTTAATAAGGTAAAACATTTACAATGGAAGGAAAAAAAGATGATAATAAAAATTATGGTATTATTCCAAATTCATTTGCACATGTTTTTCTTGAAATTTCAAAAGCTTCGAAAGATGTTGGGTAAATTGAAACAGAAAAAAAAGAAAAAAGAAAATCATTGAAATATATTTTATTAGATATTTGGTTAATATTTCATATCTTGAAATTTATAATGAAGAAATTCGTGATTTACTTGGTAAAGATCGTGATAAAAGTTTAGAAGTAAATTAATCGATTTAAAATACAAAAAAAAATGAAAATCAATAAAAATTTTCTATTTAAAAAAAAATTAGATTAAAGAACGACCAAATGTTGGTGTTTATGCTGATGGTTTATCAGCTCATGCATGTCATTCTGCAACAGAAATAGAATTATTAATGCGTTCTGGTAGTTATAATCGTAAGAATTGTTTCTTTTTTTTTTCTTGAATTCGATTTATTATAAAATCTTTTTATATATTAGGTCATACGGGTCAAACTCTTATGAATGAACGTAGTAGTCGATCTCATGCTATATTTACAATTACAATTGAATGTAGTGATACTGGTCCTGATGGTGGAAAACGTATTCGTGTTGGTAAATTACATATGGTTGATTTAGCGGTATGTAGAAAATATTTTTTGGTTTTGTTTAAATTAAAAGATATTAATTTAATTATGATTATTTCTTTGGTTTTTTTAGGGTAGTGAACGTCAATCAAAATCGGGTGCTGAAGGAAGCACATTAAAAGAAGCAACAAAAATTAATTTATCATTATCAACATTAGGCAATGTTATATCAGCATTAGTTGATGGAAAATCAACACATATACCATATCGAAATTCCAAATTAACTCGTCTTTTACAAGATTCATTAGGTGGAAATTCAAAAACAGCAATGGTTAGTTGTTTGTCTAGAGTTTTTATATTTAAAAAAAAATATCTAATAAAATTAAAAGCAAAAATGAAAAAAAAAATTTCATAGATATTGTAAAATCATGTGTAGTCACATAGAAAAGACGATCTCATGTAAAAAAAATCCTTTTGGCTAGATCTTAGATGTTTTGATTTGATGTTTGCTCAATATTAATTCAAACTGAAATTTCTTGAGCTCATGACATACTCTGACATTTATCTAATACATTTATTATAATAAAAATAAAACTAAATATAGATTTGATTTACTGAGTAAATATGCATCATTACAGCCTCGAGATATTCTTCTACATTAGTTCTATTTAGGAGAACTTATTTATAAAAAAAAATATCCTACTGATAATCCAAGTAATAAGAACAATAAATCTAGATCTAAATAGATTTATGTCAAATTTTTCTTCATTATCATATTGATTAATAGATAAATTGGTGGGTGGTTAATATTGTCAAAAAATTTTTTCATCTCTCTTGAATTACATATGAGCAATTTCATTTTATTAGTGACATGATTTTGACAAATAAAAAAATGTTTATACCTCTGGTCTTGAACATCTCTTTCAGCTTATTTTAATGTAAGCGACATAGTACAAAAAAAAAAGACAAAAGGAGAACTATTCAAGCTATAAAATCTCTACTCAAAATTATTCTTGAATATATTTAGGTTTGTTTTTTCAAAAAAATTAAGTTTATTCGTTGTGAGCAACGTGAATGAATGCGAATATAGAAACGAAAAATCTTTTTGAAACTGAATGAGAAGTTTAAAAGTCAATTCTAAATTGTACAAATCCTTGTCGAAGATCACAAGATAATAGCAAAACAAAAAGTCTCATTCTGAGGATAAAAGTAGACTTGTAGACAGTCAATTTTTGTGAAGCAGCTTTCTAAAGTTTGATCCTTCTGAAAATTTCCTCATAGATATAGTTTAAGACGTAGAGCCTATTCTGAAATTCTTGAACTTTTCCATTTATTCAAGTTAGAGAGTAATTCATTAATTACATGTTAATTGATTAACTAATTAGATAATTAACTTTAATTAAGTGCATGAGCCGAAAGAGTCGATATTTTTACATATACAGTGTGGGACATAAATAGCACTAAGATAAAATCAGTCCATTCAAGCGAATTGAAATGGAGATATGTCAATTTTTTATCATAGTACTATTTATGATCTATCTTAGTTTAAAGAGAAAAAATTGTTCAAAAAAAAAACAATCCTTATAGAAAATCATGTTCCATTTTCGCCCATATCTATATATCTAAAAATAGTTACAAAGAATTTCCTACGAAAAAAACGATTTTTTTATATTTCTTCATAAATATTTCATTGATTTAGATTGCGAACATTGGTCCAGCTGACTACAACTATGAGGAATCTTTAAGTACACTCAGGTAAAATATTTATCAATTTTTGTATCTTAATTTCATTCTCAATTATTAGATATGCAAATCGAGCTAAAAATATCAAAAATCATGCACGTATTAATGAAGATCCTAAAGATGCTATGATAAGAAATTTAGAAAATGAAATTGAACGTTTACGTAAACAAGTTGAAGAAGGTTTATTATTTTTTTTAAATCATATTAATTAATCTCTCTCTCTCTCTCTCTACATATATTAATTAGGTGGTGGTGATGGTGATGAAGGATCAGGTTCTGATATAAGTGAAATTGATGAACATGGACAACGTATTGTACGTAAACGTCCATTACGTGTTCGTCAAGAACGTAAAGAAGAAATTGAACGTGAAATTGAAATTGAACGAAGAAAATTACAAGATGATACAGAAAAATCACAAAAAGAACGAGATAAAATTGCTCGAGCACTTTTAGAAAAACAAGACGAACTCCTAGCAATGTAAAAAACAAAAAGAAAAAAAAATTCATTTTTCATTGTTCAAATTTTTTTCTTTTTATTATTCAATAATAGTAAAGAAAAAGATGATCTTCAACAAAAACTTCGACAATTAGAACGAAAATTAATTGTTGGTGGTGAAAATTTACTTGATAAAGCTCAAAAACAAGCACAATTATTAGAAGAAAGTGAACGAGAATTAGAAGCACGTATGCAAAATGAAGAACAATTAAGAAAACAACTTCAACAAAAAGAGGTTTAATATAAAATATATTTGAAAAAAGGAAGCCAGTCTAAATCAATAATTATTCTTTAGGCTGAAACACTTGATGTTCAAGTAAAATATACAACATTAAAAGAAGAAGCTGAAGATTTAACAAGAAAATTAAAAATTTTCGGAAAAAAATATCAAGAAACAAAACGAGAAGTAAGAAAAAAATCCTTTTTTGTTTTTTTCTTAATTTATGAAATTTCTTTTTTTTTTTTATTTTCTATAGTTAATAGATCTTGAAAATGAAAATCTTCAGAAACGTACAGAATTAATTGAAGCTAATTCACAAGCATTTCGTGAATTACAAAAACAAGAATTTATTATTGGAAGTTATATACCTGAAGAATATCTCGTATGTATTTTTTTGTTTTTGTCTTTTAAAAATTTTAAATAAATAATTATGAATTTATTTAGAAACTTATTCAACAGAATGCTGTATGGAATGAACAATTTGGAGAATGGAGTCTTAAATCAATTGCATATACTGGAAATAATATTAAAAATAAAGAAAAATCAAAACAAGATCAAGTATTGAATTTGAAAATTTCAACAAACAAAAAAGAAAAAATTTTATAATTTTTTTTTTTTTGCTTTAGAATGATGATTTAAATTTAACTCATGTCTATTTAGCATATACAGCTAAAGGTGCTGAAAAAGCTATGCGAGATTTTATGGATAGAAAGAAAAAAAAAAGCGTTAAAGAAAAGAAAAAGTATGAAATTAAAGAAATGAATAATTCGAATAGATCATTTTATTTTTATTTTAATTAGAAAAACACCAAAAGAAACAAATGATGATCGTCCAACCACAGCAGTACGACATTAAATATGTGATTTCTTTTTTGTTTTGATATTCAATTAATCCGTCCATTTTATCTTTTTTTTTTTTAATACAAATCAAATAATAATATCTCGTTTGTTTGTTTCCTTTTTTTTTGTTTTGATGTATAGTCATTTATTTATTGTATAACAAATTTCAGATTAATTTTTATAATGAGTTCAAATACAGTTGATATTGGTTCAAAATCAGGCAAATTTAAATATATTTTAGTTCAACAAGGACAAAAATATATTCTTCGTGGTGATTCTAGTTTGGAATATCATGGTACTATTGTCTAATTGGTGTTTTTTTTAAGTTAATTATATTTGGTTTTTTTGTTGATAGATCAAATTTTTGATAAATTAAAAAAGGATGTTGGAGAAAAAACATCAAGTGAATTAAAAGTTTTAGGAGGAGGAAAAATTCAAGCTGATTTCGACAAAAAACAAATCAATGTATTCGGCGATTCTCAAGTAATTTTTTTTTTATTAGTATAGGATAAATCGATAGGTGTCTAATCACTTTTTGGGAAAAAGTGTTTTTTTGTCACCTTTTTTTTCATGCTAGTTAGATGGGAAGTAATTAGTTGATTGTCGAATTTCAATTGAAATTGTCGAGATTGAGAGCGTTTTCTCGGAATATCTAATGAAGAATTACAATATTTTAAGCTCATATTTTATCTATTAGTAGCAAATCAATAGACGCGGACAATTTTCAAAGAATTCTTCTTTTGATTGAGATACAAAATGTTTTAATACACAGAAATTTTTCATTTTTTCTATAATTTGATAAAAATCCTATGTATTGAAACAGTCATATCTTAATTAAATTTTAATCAAAGGAAGAATCTTTTGCAGATTATTCTAGTCTAGCGATTCACTATTAATTGACAAAATATGAGATCAAAATATTGTAATTCTTCATTAGGTGTTCCGAGAAAACACTCCCAATCTCGGCCATTGACAGTAAAATTTGATAACTTTTTCCAGACAAAGTTATTTTCTGATTATTTCTCACTTAGTCATCATGAAGCAAGTAGTTAATGAAAAAAAAACTTTTCCTTTTACAATGATTGAATATTCATGGATTTGCTCTATAATTATTTTTGTATATTTAGTCATATGGTGCTGCTGATCATGCCAAAGCGAAATCAATACTTCAAGAAAAATATCCTGATTTTAATATTTCAACTGACAAACCAGCTGATTAGAGCAGTTAACAAATGAAAATATACAAGCATTTTCTTTTAATCTAGCTCATTATTTTATCTCTTGTGCATGAATCACTTTTTATATTATGAAATTCGAGAAAATATTTATACAAATAATAAACAAGCACTAGTTAATTAGACTATTGATTTATTCTATGCTTTTGTTTTTGTATTTCATATTATTTGTAAACATATCTGAGACATTGTAAGATGACATGATTAATTAAAATATTACAAATGTAGTATTCCACTCGACAAATATTATTGATGAGATTATCTTAAGTTTCGATTTATATATTGTTCTGTAGAAATGAATCGATTTGTTTTTCATGAGAAACAGAACCATTAGGAATAGCATGCTACGTTAAATAGGATATATATTAGCTTGTCAAGCTCACTAAACACACATAACATCTGGTAAAACACTGTATATGCCGATATATGTTATTAAATAATGGTTATGAATCGTATAACCTTAAATCATCATGAGACTTGCAATTTTGAGTATTCTTTATATATTCAACATAAAAATATCCTCAAATCTTGTTTTAAAGTAGAACATGTAAATTTACATGGTCTATATCTTTGATTGAATTGTTAACTGAGTAATTCTTTGCAAGATATGATCTACACTTGATTATTTAAGAATCGAGCTCGGCAATGAATACTGTATAATAGATCTTAAGCTTATGGATCCATATCCGATGTAAAAGAGAGCGTATAATATCTAAAGGTCTTGCTTAGTGATACGACAACAGCTGGTTCATTAATAAATGCCCTTTTAGACAAACAATTTTTTTTTTTCTAATGTCTAAATTAAATCATTTTTGATTGTTTGAAACTAATGACCTTTGTGTTTGATAAAACTTTTCTATTTAAAACCAGATTATATTTTCATTATATTTTAAAGAACTAAAATTTAAAAAAAAAAAGATTATTATTTGTTGAAGATAATCATGAATAAAATACTTCCAATTGTTAATATTGGTTCAAAATCAGGCAAATTCAAATATATTCTTGCACAACTTGGTCAAAAATATTTAATTCGTGCTGATCCAACAGCTGATTATCATGGTAATTTCAAAATTTATAGAAATATTTTCTTTCATTTTATTAAAATTTTTCAGAAAAAATATTTAAAAAACTTCAAGATGAAGCTGGTGGACCATTAAATGATTTATACATATTAGGTGGTGGAAAAATACAAGTTGATTTTGAACAGAAAAAAATTAATCTCTTTGATCAATCACAAGTATTTAAAAAAATTCAACAATAAATTTCATTTATTATTTTTATTCCTATATTAAGGTATACGGTCCTGCTGACCATAGAAGAGCAAAAACAATTCTTCAAGAAAAATATCCTGATTTTACCATTGCACTTGGTCCAACTGATTCAAATGCTAAAAACTAATATGTTTTCACATGATTTTTTTGATAACGTAGTTTTATAGTTAAACGTTTTTTTATTATAAAAAAAATTTATTTAATCATGCGATAGAAAATATAACTATTCGAGCACTAAATTAAGAAATCATATTACAATAATATGAGTCACATTATATCTTGAAAAAGAAAAGAAACCATTTTGATATTCCAAATGTGTAATGTTGGTTTGCATAGTAGTTGTGAAATAACTTTGTCACTAATCATACAGTATTTAAAGGAAAAAACAAATAGAAATTTTTTCTTTCATTTTCAACGTCTTTCATCTATTTGTAAAACGCAATCAAAATGACTGATATTGATGATTTTGAATTAATCAATGATCCGGTATTATCAAACGAACAAACATTTGAATTTATAGATGTGAATGATGGTACTGAAAAAAATACAAATATTAATAAGCCAACAACATCGAGTATTATTGTACCACCTCTTGTTTCAAAACCTTTAGTTAATGAAATTCCTCAAGTTGTACAACAACAACAACAACAACAAACATCTAATCCTACTGTTAATTCATCAGAATCAAAAGTACCAGTTTCACCTATTAAAACAATGACTCCTATAACACCTTTAGTCCAAATTCAAAAGACAGTACCATCACCAACACCAACACCTCCTCCAAGACCAATAATAATTGCTCCCGTGCCACAATTACCAAAAGCTCCTGCTCCAAAACGTTATGGTGATGCTGCATTAATTCCTCATAATATAGACGAAACCATAGATATTGATGTTATTATAAATAAATCAAAGAAGACTCATCAAAATACTTTAAATGCTAGTATTCAACAACAGCAACTAAGTGATATTCAAACAGTACTTGAACAACGTCAAAATTCACATAAGAAAAAATAACTTTTGAATCAATATATATATATATCAAGAGTGTACATAAGAAAAACGCACGAGTGTTAATACAGATGTTGTTCCTTTTTTTTTGTTTTTCTATCTGTTTTTTCTCTCTATCTTAGATTTATTATGTACACTATTTGATCATTCTCACACATCATCATCGACTATGATGTGATGCAGCACTTTTTTTTTGGTTGCTCGATATAGAACAACAGCTTTTTTTCCAGAATAAATATATTGATATGTATATATGTCTCTTACTTTCCAAATAAGAAAGAAATATGGGACAACAGCACATATGTTTGTATTTTTATTGCATACTCTCTATAGGTTGTCTATTGTACAAGGCAAAAGAAAAATCTGATCGATTTCTTTCTGCTCTCTTCTCCCCCTATCTATAAAAAAGAGGAAATATCTACAAATATGCTCTTCTCATCATAAATACCATCTACTCTTTTTCTCGTTGCAATAATAGACCTTTGAGAATAGTAAGTATATTACAGATTACAATATTTATTATAAATAATATGTTCATTCTCAGTGGCAAGTGGCTCAGCTTTTAGTAATGTACTTAAAGCAAAGGAAGATTTACAAAAATCTCCTGAACAATTAGAAAGAGAGAAACGATCCATACTTTCACAACGTGTACCAGCATTAGATCTTGATGGCAAAACAAAAGAAGATCTTATTGAAAAGGTTTTTCTTGTCATAAATAATAATAACAATAATAATAATAATAATAATAACAATAATTTTTTTTAATTTTAATAAAAGGCAAAACAATTTCATAATCTTCTTCAACAGTTACATGGTGCTATTTACGAATTAAGCGAACGATTTGAACGACAAAAATATGATGTTAGTTAGAAAACTATATATTTATAATAATTAAATGATATGTATTTTAGATGGTCGAATTAGGTGAACGTGCTCGTCAAATTGAAAAAGGGTAATGAAATAATATCTATTATATTTTCTAAAATTATTAGATCTATTTTAGAAAAGCTAAAACACGTAAATCAAATATCGTGCATACTGGTCTTGGAGGTGGTCTGTAAGTATTTATTTATCATTATCAGCAGAAAAAAAAACTTCTCCTTCATCAATTTTAGTTTTTCTGGTGTTAATGATATAACAGCACAAGCACCGGTTTGTTATTGAATTTTAACTTTTTTTAAAATTTTTTTTGTAATTTTCTTTTAGGCAAAAGTATCACTTTTTAGTCGATATGAACGTCGTAAGTAATTAATTAATTTTTTTTCAAACAATAAAAAAAAAATACGTGATAAACAATTATATTTAGTAACTGATCGTCGTACATTCAAAGATCGTCGTGATGTTTGGGCTACAGAAAAAAAATCAAACGACTTTGTTCCCGAACGTCCAAAAGCTAAGATAAAACATAAATCACCTCCAGCTGATAAGGGTTTACCACGAAAAACTAAACGTGCATCTACAAAAAATGAAGAATTAGTAAATCAAACTCTAAATTAATATTTTATTTTATAATTTGATATTTTTATTTTTCAGCCTCCTCCATCTGCTGAAGAAACCGAAGCACCAGAACAAGAAGAACCACCTGCTGAAGAACAACCTGCACCAGAAGAAGAACAAAATGAAGAAGCAGCAGCAGAAGAAGGAGAAGAAGAAGAAGAGTAAACACTTAACTGAATGAATATCATACCCTCTTATATTAGATAACCTTTTTATCTTTTACCTTGAAATAAAATTTTTATTGAAATTTAATATTTACAAAAATATTTACAAGAAAAGAGAAAAAAAGAACAATGAAATTAATTATGATTTTATTTATTTTATTCTTCATCTTCATCTTCATCTTCATCACCCGACATATTTTCTTCATTAACTTTCTCATTTTCAAATGTGTCATGTTTTGCTTCACTAATTGATTGTCGTTTTATAACTGGACGTGATATTTTCGGTGTTTTCCAACCTCGACGCCATAGTTCTCGTAGAAAAAATAAAATATGATAAGGAGCTATCGTAGATATTAAAAGAATATAAAATACTCTCATTGGTAAAGTCCAAAAGTTATATAAAGTATTAATACCAATATGAATTTGTCGACATATTTGATAATCATTATCATCATCGTCATCATCATCATCATCATTAGATGATAAAACACATAATCGAATTGTTGATGGTTGATCTATATTAAAATAAAATCTTTTTGTATGTAATTCAATCATCGATTTAATAGATATATTTTCAATTTCATAAGAACCAACAACAAGAAGATCTAAAGGTATTATTTGATAATAAGCTTTTAAATTTGGAATATTACATGTTAAATTATAATTAGCAGTAAATTCAATTGGAAATTTAGTTTGAATCTGATTTATTTGATAATTTGCTTGAATTATAAATGATAAAGAACAGTTGGAATTATTGAATGATAAATTATTACAAGTAGTGCGTAATAATTGTATCAACAATAATAGAAAAATAAGTAAGAGAGACATGTTTATTGAAGGTTACTAACGATAAAAATGATCATTAAAAGTATATCGCTATTGTTCGTTAGTTTCGCTTCGGTTGAGTGAATTATTGATTGAAATAAGACACAATTGAAGTGTAGAGTTATGCTCTGAATTAAATCAAAACGAAAAAGTTCAAGCGTGAAAAGTTCAGTGTGTATGGATAGAAGAAATTTTTTTAAACGTTTTAATCGAATTATTCAATATATAAAAATGAATATTGATTAAATAAAACAGAAATAGTCATGTTAATCCAACAAAAAAAAATATTCTAAACTATGTTTGATCAATTTTAATGTTGATTATTTTGATAAAAATAACTTTGTTTCAATTATACTCAATACATATTATCAAATCATTTGAAATCTAAATACAAAGAGCGAAAAACTGCTGATGTATACAATGATTGACATATATTATAATATGTAATTAATATCTGTCGAACGTCAATGGAATCAAAAGCTTGTAATCAATCTGTCATCATTTACCAATTATTCATTGTATATATATCTAATGTCTTATTTAAAGACATATTTAATAGATCAAGCGAAATCGATATTCTCTTAGGTTTTGCTGTTCATCGTACATTTTAATGTCAATTTCGATGTTTTTTTTTTCTCATAACAATTATCTTTTTATTGTTAATCAAATTGTTTATGTATCTATTCGAATAGAATTATATACATACTAAGGTAATGATTAATGTAAGCAGAATTTTTCGATTGAATAAACGAAATAAGTTGATATATAATCATCTGACCATTTTAATATTGCTAGATATTCTTTTTAAAAGATGAAGATTCGTAACTATAAAAATTATAATCATCATCAATAAAAGCTTTCATCTGTACGTATGTTATTAACAATGCGCATACACATTAAATATTTAATCATCACCACTTGATCTTGATCGTTCATATCTCTTCAGAGGTGTTGACGGGTTGACATGTTTTAATTCAATTTGATTGATTCATAGCTTGTGCAATGAATAGGCTTCTAATGAGTAATGGTTTACTGGCTCACGAACCTTCTCATTTTTTTTTTTATCATTTTACGCATAACTCGTCAGTTAACTCATCTATTAATCTTATCTGTCATTTCTTTTCATTCGTCATTTTTTTTTGTTTCTAAATATAACTAAGTTCACTATTCTTTCGTTATTCTACTGTTTTTTGTTGTTTTGAAAATTTTGTAATATTTATGTATTCTATTTATAAACATTTCAGTTTCGTAAATGATTAGAAAACAGATATTTGTCAATTGGTAAAAAAATTTATCGACAAA